TATGATTCACTGCCAAGTACTACAAGATTTTCCTGTTATAAGTCAAATATTGCTCCATAAAAATAAAATCAACGTAACCTTTTGTAAGGGGCACAGAAAATGCACTCCCTGTGCATGCACACACTATTTACACCATTTAAATATGTTCATCTGGAAAGAAAGGTCTATGAACATCAACTTCACTGTCATGCACCAACTGGAAAAAGCCAGTGGCCTTAATGTGTGTATGTATCTGTAGATGAGGGTGGAAACCATGCCATCGTCGATTTCAAACGAAGTATGCAGTTCAAACAAAAGGATTTTTATTGCTTGCATCATCTAGATGTGGCAAATTTGTAAGCAGTCCTTGATCTGTTTTGAAAACTCCAGGCAGAACTGAAAATACAGTGAATTCTGATGTCTAATGAAGATTTTGCACTGCAGTTACAAACAATGGCTTTTAAAACAGGGTTATAGGCTTAACATTACAGGACTTGTCCGTGCATTTGACCAACCGCTTTCATTATATTTTTCAAAAACAAATGTGCTTCACAGTGTACAGAATATGAACTAGTTTCTTCTTATGATGCATCAGGTTTATCAGAAGTATTTATTTAATTTTACAAATAATACTTTACCTTTATTGTACATGCATGGTAAAGTTTACCCATTTCACTCTTCTGATGAATTCAGGTTGAAAACATTTGCATGGCCTTGAAATCTTCAGAGCTCTGGTCACTGTATGTACTTACTATACAGAAGTTAGTGTTTTGTTCATTCATTCATCCCAAGTACACTTTAATGAACAGTAGAAACAAGGTGGGAAAAGGGCCCCAGTACCCATTAAATAGGAGACTTGGTGGGCCCCAGAGCTGGTCTGGTTGCAGAGGCTAGAGAAAAGGTTAACACCAACATGGCTGGATGAAACATGTATAAAAATGAACAAGATGTAAATGTGGTAGCCAGGAATCATAGGGGGATAAAGACCCATGATTATGAATGGGTCTAACAGAATCATTAATGTACAGGGCATGGATATATTTATAGGTTACACTTCAATAAAAATAATAACGAACTAGGCACGTGTTAGAAAGAGAAGGGGACAATGTAATGTAGAAACTGTGAACTGAGAAATGCTGTTAGAATAAAATCATTTTATTTGTATTGAACATCGACACTGAACATCTCCATAAAACTGTTTAATATACTATTTTGAATAACATAATTGGGCCAGAGGCCTTGAGTTCTGTCACCATAAGAAACACAAGTCTTAATTGCAAACGTTCATAATTATCAAACTGTCCTGGTCACATGTGTCCTTCAGGTAGGTTTTGTTGCTCCTGCATTTGAAATCACTATATCAAAGTAAGACTGATATAACTCACAAGACGACCAACAGATAGCAGCAGAAGAGCAGCATTAAACAGATCCTCTGGTGTGAGTTTTATGAACTGTCTGTAGTCAGGAGCAATTGTATCAACAAACTGTTAATGCTGCAAGCTGAAAAGCCTACTAGTTCAAGCTAGGGGAATGTAATTGTATATATATTCTTGGCTTCCATCAACACCTGCCAAAATTTAAACACACAACAGTATTTGTTATAAGACATGGATACTATATATGAAAGAAAAACATTCATGGCGAAATTTAAGTCTCTTTCTGAGCAAATGAATAGATGAAAACAAAGCTAACAAAACTTTCAATCATCACAATAATGGACAATGTTATTTACAGCTCAGGCTTAAAAAAATGTATCACATAAACATACTTTTTATACAAAAATATATATTACATTGAAAATAGCATCCTGGTCGCAGAGTCAAGTTATTTTCCCTTCTCTGCAATTTGATATTTTCGTGTACGATTCTAGAGGAAACATAATTTCACGCAGTAAACTTTTGAAGAGTCTTATGCGTCTGACTGGACAGTTTATACAGTAAACTCCCAATTACCTTGGCTAATGAAGGATAGAAGGCCCATGAATAACTGAAAAACATGGATAATCCAAAATATTTATATTTGCTTTTATAGAAGTGGCATTTATTTTTTCAAAACAGTTTGTAATGGTTCAACCATATCTTCTGTAGACCCTCCCAAAAATGGCTGTCCTGAACTAGACAGTACAGCATGGAACGATGGTGAATTCATTGTCCGCGAGCCACGAGAGTAGACTTGGCCTTGTCAGCCATTGCTCGTGTGGCCGGGGGAAATTGGGTTCTGCGCATGCGCTGGTGACGTATTCCTTACATAAGAACATTATGCTCTCAGTCAGGCAGTACATTAGCTCACGACGTACGGCCTAGTTGCGGGTGTTTCTCGGTCCGCTAGTAGCACAGAATTTTACCCCCACCTCCGTCAAAGATGTCAGGTCCACTCTCGTGCCTCGCAAAAAGACAAGTCATGCACGGAGATGTGTACAGATAATCTGCGGACCGGATAATCAAGAGTTTACTGTATCAAATTTTTATATGCTACTACAGATATTGCAAATAAAAATCATAATTTACTTTTCTTACCACATGAGAATATTAAATTCTGTATTCTCTCAGGGCATTCAGGACACTTCATGCTTTAGTATAATAACATCCAAACGTCTTCGGTTCAACACTCGCCTTAAAGGCACCTGGTATCAAAGTCATCGTATAACATTCAGCAGAATAAAGGTTCCATAAAATAAAATAAAAAATTGAAAATAAGGCAAATCATTAATATGAGTCATTCATCAGAGATATAGATAGACAGATTTGTTCCATATAAAATTTTTTTTACGGTTTTTCAAATTTGTAATTTGTTCAAGGTAAAAAGTATTTGTGCTCCATATTTTACTGGTTTCTATAACCAGTCTTTTGGACAAATCACCTATACACCTGTATTTTGCATGTCAAGCCGAGTAAGTTGGTCACTTTTGCGTGCAAGACGTCAATGATGATTATACAATGTAATACTGGAACAACAAGCCAGGTTCCGTCGACTGGTGGAGTAGTGTTACTGTTCCATTACCAAAAATGGAATTACGTGAAGAACAGAGTGACTTATGCGGCCCATCCACGTACGAGTCTGGCTCGGCCAAATTCGTTTGTGGGTGGGGTGTCACGTGCCGAGTCTGCTACGCATGCGTGGTGATATATATCTGAGCGAGACTCGCAAGTCAGACTCGTACGTGGACGGGCCGCTTTAGACTCGCACTTATGATCAAATAAAATATTCCTCACAACATTTTTCTTGTCTCTGCTTACCACCAGTATTCTTTCCCAAAGTTTTACCTGTTGCAGGTTCATTTATTTTATTTTACATTACTAAAAAATGTACATCAACAACTTGACCTTGCGTTTGTCTAGGGCATTTGAGTAAACGTGTTATCAAGAGTAGTGCAGACCTCCGAAAGATGGCATTAGGACCGACTGAACTAAAGCATGCAATAATGGCATAAGCAGCAAGACCAAGAGGCTCCAGGGGATGCAAAGTGCAATCACCCCTGCAGATGCAAGGGCACTGGCTGCGGTTTCTAGACAACTGCGGAACTCTTGGTAGTCAAGCCTCGTGATAGCACAATAATGGGTGTGTGCACAGCTAGCGTCACATCCTTCTGTGTTGTGATGAAATCTCACGGAGTTGGCCCGATAATATCTGAAACACGTAACGCGTACACTGAGTAATGCCACCCTGAAGTTGACTCCTGAGAATTCGTAATCTTAACCTAGAAATATTACAACATAAATAAGCAAAAATTAATTCATTTAACAACCGCCACGGTGGTCTTGCGGTTAGAACGCTGGCCTTGTAATCCTGGGGTCTCGGGTTCGATTCCCGGAGGTGCCCGAATTTACAACTTGTGTTAGGCAAGGCCGTGGTCTAGGAAACACGGAGTTTTCCTCCGGGGGGCTTCCACGGTTTCTCCGTGGCATCCCAACAATTACACACTGAAGAAGGCAATGGCAAACCACTTCTGTATCACCTGCCTAAAAAACATATATGAACAGGTCCCAGTCCGAGAAAAGCTCATCTAAATAACACAGAAAAATTCAGTTCTTACCTGAAAGAAAACACGAAGTCTCCAGTACAAAGATCGATTGCTTAATGCTGTTTAAAGGTAATCCTGTTTATTCTGAGAATCGTATGGAACTAATACATTCTGTGGGAAAAATGGAGGGTTATTGAACTCTAAAATAGGTTGTACATATACAAATTTTAGATGGTTGGTGGAGGGGACAAGAAACGCACGCAGCTGAGGACAGATTCAAATAGTAATCGTAGCGAAAGAAATTCGGATTCGATAAAAACATCGAATTTCTTGACCAGCTAAATAATTGGACACTGTCATTCGCAGCTTCGTATTGACAGTGGAACAAGTCATCTCACATCATGTACCTGGAAAAAAGCGTTGCTCCTTCTTGTACCGCAAAGCTTTCGACCAGATTATGTAGTTCGTGTGCCGAAACCTCATTCAAGCCATAATGGTCGGTGAAGTTGTATTCGGGCTGCCATTCAGCTACGTTCTGTCGATTGGCTGCATCGAGGTCCAGATAATACTGTCTGTAGTCCAGAACCTGTGACGACAAACAAATCATAAATGTTCACTAGCAAATTAAATAAAATAAAATGATTACAGATAATTTATGACAGAATGGAGTGATTTTAAATATTCCGAGGGAAATTCCCAGATCTTTCCACCACACGACAGAATTTTTATCAACCCGGCAAAATCAAATACGCGAACTAAATTTCTGCATCAGAGGACACGATTTGACCTTCCAATTAATGCAATTTACACTGGGGTACACCTTGCAGATCGGAAAGTTAGTCGCCGATCTTGAGGTCACAGTGACTGTCAACTTCATCGATCTATTTAGTAATGCAAACTCATTTAATTTATCTTGTGCTATCCAAAGTCAGTGAGGCACTTTAATACAATCTTCTCCGCAAAGTGTCAAGGTAACGTAGCCAAACCCCGTGCGACGATCGATAAATAACGCGACGAACCAATAGGACTCTAATTTATGATCTGTACCTTCGAAAACAGTGGCTTGCTGGCACCACGATCATTTAAGTTAGCGACAAGTGCTGCCGCATGAAAACGCGTGTACTACATCACAGCCATCTCTTGTTTTTTTTTCAAGAAGAAAAATCAGTGTTACCAACCTGCCATTCTTCCAGTCATCGGAACAAACAGGAAGTCCAATCCCTTCACATTGAGATGCGAAATCCACGCTCTAAATCAGGATTATTAAAGCGTGGGGCGCGAAAAATATTAAAATATAATCTATTTTCTATCATGGTGCCTATGGCAATTAAAATAACAAATATTGCGTAGGAAGAAAGGCACCCATAACCTCAAATTAATGCCTCTATCAAACGACACTGTCAGTAGGCAAATAAGATGAAGATATTGATGACATACGTGAACTGTTAGAAAGAGTTTAAAGCAGCCTCAAATTTGCAGTGTACTTGACGAATCATCCGACATTTAAATTTTAAAACAATTTCTTACGTAAATGCATCGTTGTTTTGGAAAACTATACCTTTTGTAGAGCGAATAAATTAACATGTAATAAATATGATAACATTAATTTAAAATAAATGTCAGGTCTGTGAATCTTCTTGCTAGTGTAAAACTTTGGACATTGGAAATAGATATATATTTTGAAACGTGACTATACAATTAAACGCGGATGAATCTTGAACAATCTTTCTCTACAAAATTGTGTGCTTCGGTCTAAAAAAACAACAACTACGTCTCATTAAGTAACCAGGTTACCTACCTGTCCAGAGTCGGTGTCAAACTTATACAGCCGTAGTCCCGGATTGTTGGCACCACTGGGAGTCTTCTTGGGCGAAACAGCTGGGGTGAGGAAAATCCACGACACAGGGCGACCTGGAGAAATTGGGCACCGAGATAGGTCATACACACACCTCGATTTCATAGGAAAAGTTTATGGTAAAATTTACGAACATGGCTGCAGAACAAAACTTGGAGGTCATGTCTTTATTTAACGACTATCTCTCCGCGTCGTGGACATTATAGCCATCTGTGTCTATGAGTGATGAATCGTGAAGGACGCGGAAGGAAGCGATCGTAAGTATTTCAAGGCGTTGAGGTGAACGACACGAAGGTGTTTGCTTCTCGCTTGAACTAACTCTGATGTTGATTGGCTCACGTAGGCACACGGTAGTAGAAGCTTCCAAACTCAGCCGCCAGTGTCTCTGACGGTCACTTTACCCAATAACCCACTACGAAACCCAAGCCATGATAGCCACATTCGAGTTCCAGGTCTTACGTTTATGAAACAAAATTGCTAACCTCTACACCGTGACGAAGGGTTTAATGAGTATAACATTGATGTCACAGATTCAATCGGGGGCGGAAAGATTCATTTCTGCAATAAGAAGAAACTCACTGGTACATTTGCCATCATCCATCAATGGCTTGGCGCTGTCAGGAGGTAAACTGTTTGAAATGTAATGAATGAAGCGTACGCAATGAATCGAAATCCCCTTACCTCTTACTCTGATCTTCGACTTCTCTGATTGATTTATTCCATGCAGGGCTGCCACTGAAAGGGAATTGTCACCGCGATTTCCCTCTATAATCTGTTACGAGATGAAATATGAAGTAGCGCTCCTTGACAAGAGTTGCTCTGCTATAAATTTCATGCCTGTGAAGGGCCGTAAGTTACACGGGTGTTATACGTACATTAAAGCTCCACAAGGAATCGATCGCGTCGTGACGTTGCACCTTGATAGCTCGGCAAAGACTTTCACTCGCGAGCGTGGCGGGTGGCGGAACCCGCAGGCGATAAGTGTGTAACAACTAACACAACCAGCTGATACGCGAGGCGCGGCTATTTAGCACTGTTGGTGCTCAGCATCTACCTCTATGTGAATGAGTTGATATTTATTCGCTTATTTTGTGATGCTGTATCATCCGCTGAGGTTATGTAGCTTCAAACGCGAATGATGAATCGGGAAAGTGGGAATCGGTTTTAGTCAACTGTAAGGTTAATCTCAAATTCTGTCTGTATTAACGGAGGAATAGGACGAAAAAGGGTCAACAAAATCGACCTAAACCAAGTACCTTTCGACTGCAGGTGAAACGTGTCACCGATTTGAATTTAAGATTTTCATCCGCCAAACTAAAATGAATTCATTCCAAAGCTTCTGAAAATTTTTATTATAAGCTAAATTTGTTTTTAACGTCTCAACACCAACGAAAAACATTTTCTACTTTCAGGTTGGAACATCTGTGAAGTTCGCTCTCCATATAAAAAGAAACAAAATATAATACCAAAACTTAAAAATCATATTAATTTTATTATAAGTATTGTAATCTGCTCGGTTATCACTTCGTATGCGCTTACAGCATATTTAACCTCCTTTTAACTGCCCACTCTACGACGTACATAACAGAGAATCTACATTTACTGCTAATATATTAACATGAATTAAAGAATAACGAAATTAAACAGAGTTAGTTAACATAAATGACTACTGTAAATTTCTGCTTGCCAGTTCGTAAAATCAACTCGCCACAGGCGATCAGGCGACCGTATTATCAAAACTCTGTATGTATCTGTTTGTCTCTGATAGCTGTGAAACAGTGGGAGGGACACGTAATTAACTGAACCCAGTGGAGCGCGCGTAGCAGCAGCCAGCCACGCGGCTTGAAGCCACAGCGAATGTGATCCAATGGGTTAGGAGACTTCTGCTTCGGTTTCACACTGACTGCACCCACCCACAGAGCTACGCTGTATTCTGTCTCCTGTTACAAGAAAAACTGATCAGGCAGAGCGACAAGTTACAGAATTATCTACGGAATATCTGAGATCAAATGATCATGATAAGTAACACCATCTACTCGCAAGTTCCCCTCTGATAGGGACCTGTTCATGTTTCCTCGGCAAATGATCCAGAAGTGGTTTGCCATTGCCTTCTTCTGTGTGTGAATGGAGTAATTGTTGGGATGCCACGGAGAAACCGGGGAAGCCCCCGGAGGAAAACTCCGGGTTGCCTAGACCACGGCCTTGCCCAACACAAGTTATAAATTCGGGCACCGCCGGGAATCGAACCCGAGACCCCAGGATTACAAAGCCAGCGTTCTAACCGATAGACCACCTCATCTTATTTTATTTTAGTGTTCTGTCTGACGACAGGTCCCTATGAACAGGATCCTTCCATCCTTTTCTCGGACTGGGACCTGTTCATATACGTTCTTGGCAGATGATCCAGAAGTGGTTTGCCATTGCCTTCTTCTGTGTGTGAATGGGATGCCACGGAGAAACCGGGGAAGCCCCCGGAGGAAAACTTCGTGTTGCCTGGACCACGGCCTTGCCCAACACAAGTTATAAATTCGGGAACCGCCGGAAATCGAACCGGGGACCCCAGGATTACAAGGCCAGCGTTCTGACCGCTAGACCAGTTAAGATGTCGCTACCTTCGGGTTGCGGACAGAGGAGATGCAATGTACCAATGTTTCTTTAATCTCTCGTTCAATGCACAAGGAAATGTAAGCTGCTATCCGCAGTCTGGTTGCCAGCCGAATGAACAGAAATGGGGCAGTCTCTTTCAGCCCCGTCACTCTTATAACACACAGGGTTTCAATAAACTCGAGAAAGTCCTCGAAAACTGCCCGATACAGTCGGACTTCAATTCCACAAAGGGACGTTTCCCGCCAGTAACATTATATTCAGAACGGCCATAAGCCCTCCCACCCCAGTTTCTATTCTTGAACTTTCTTCGGGGTTATAGTCGGGTGGAGAATATAGTCCAACCTCTTTAGGAGGTTAGTTTAACGTTATCATAGGTCGGTGTGACACACGTTAGACACGGTGAGACGGTTCCAACGAATTTTACTTTCTCGTGACTCAGACACTCAGAATTATTTCGGTTCTGAATACGATGTCTGGTAATTAAATAATCTGTTGAGCAACTGTTATCTGTTAACTGTTGAGGAGCAGTTATCTGGCGATTTAATATTAAGAACATTAAATAACGCATGTGTGAAAAATAACAAGGCGTTGGAGCGAAGTATTTCGAATTTGAAGAATACAAGAATTCAATGAGGGCAGGTTGGCCCTACTTGAAATTTTCTGTGGTGGGAAATTGTAATCTCACCGTCACAACCATTGGTTCAACCACATTATCCGATAGCAGAACCCGAAATGTCAACATTACTAAAACCAAACAAAGCTCGCCAATGGACATGACCCGAGCTAATTCCATCTTCACTGGTTTTATAGTGTTACTCCGTCAAAGCTTTTGGTTAATTTGACTAATTCGCAGGTCATCTAACGCCGCCGTTACATAATAAAGTGTCATGTTTATTATCAGTTATGAACTCCGCATTCTCAACGGGATTCGAAGTAAAATTGGGGAGTAACACAGCTGCTTCATTTTCAACCCTTTTGAATTAATTCATTTAATTTTGTTCGATGACAACTTCTGCAGTTCATACAGCGTCGATAAATGACCTGTGTGAACTATTGTCACTTGTGCTAATTAGTTTCCAGGCTGCGTCCGGAAGAACTCGACGGCATTCCGGAGGTCTCTCGTCGGAATGTCGATGTATCACTGAATTGAAAGGGGAGTGATTCTGTCAGACGGAAACGAGTTGAAGCTGGAATTCTAAGTGCCCTTACAGTGTCTTTGTATACAAGTCGACAGCCTCCAACTCCATCCTCCCGTCTTGCGATTATACTCCGATTTCTGAGGATTTTAGAAAACGAAATCTGAAGACATATTTGGTAAGAGACGTAGTGTAGTGTCCAGTAGGTTAATACGTTGACAAATGGAGGTAACCTAGTTCTGGTGAAAAATAATGGAATCTGAGTCTGCCTGATATCTAATTACGTGGTACGACAGCGCATCGGAGAAAACTACTCCGTGGCGTGTAGATTATTGTCAGAAAGCCTGATTTCAATTCCTTCGGATTTTCTCCAATAAAAAAATAATAAATAGAACAACAAACTCAATATTTAACGCATTTTTTTTGAGCCTGATACATTTCAGAATTCAATAAATGCGTGACTCATTGCCCTGGTGATGGGGGAAACAAGGACACCAGAAATGCTAGTAAACTTCTACCAGAGTACACGGCGGAACAATACAGAAGACAGCCATTTTCGGAATCACCGCCCTGAAAACCTCAAATTCTACGCTAAATTTTATGTTCAGAAAACGAGTAGCCGAATCAGTACATCTACGGATAAAGAAAATTTACGACCGGAGTTCGATTCCGCGTTAGAAGCGAGTTTCGATCTCCTCAGCATCAGCACCGCCAACCAGTTTACAGTCCAATGGCTTTCTTTCTGGTGGTAAAGTTGGTCGTACTGGGACGCTGGCAAGTTAGGTTAGGTTAGAAATGGGAGAAACATGAAACACGAGTCATAAGACCTGAGACTAATCTTACCAGTGTCGCTGTAGACAATTCGAAAGGAATCTGAGTGCAGGTGTCCGAAAAACTGACCCACGATTATATCCGAATATTTTCGGACAAGCCTCAGGTACCTCTGGTTAAACCTCGCCTGGAAGACTTCATGGTAGGGGGATATGCCACCGTTCTGTCGCTCGTCGACCCCTGGAGGCATATGTCCCACCAGATAGACCTGCAAATACAAATAACATCGAATGCAACTCAAAAACCAGTAAAAGACCTTCTTACGCCACGCGGCGAAGTCTAGGTGGAATTTTACCTCCATTTCACCTATACGTTTTCATGAAGCTACGCTTAGGCACCGTACAGTTACTGTCGACTAAAATATTATAAATTACAAACACTATAATTAATTCGTTTAACAAATTGACATACGAAATTCCTGAATATGAAACTCAAACTGTAAAAGCGGGCGCAAATATGCAATTGTGACTCTAAAATTCAAAACATTTAATTGCTATGGACAAACTATCAATTGCCCAACCCACATACAAGAGCTCGTGAACTGTAATAGCATGCTCCTGCGATAAAGCAGACATCAAACAATTTGTAATGTAGAGTAGTGAGTGGTTCGTAACATCAATTTTAAAATGATACAAATTTTATCGTTTACAGCTTGTATTAATATTCAGTATCCTACAATCACAAGCGATGTATGGGCCTTCCATGACAACTATGACGATGGAATATTAATGTTTAACTTTTATAATATAGCTTTCTTAATATTAGAATTCAATACTCAGGAAGTAAGCAGTAAACTTATAACATGAACTCAACAGCTTACGAAGATATAAGCAGGTCCTGGGGATAATACAGGGTGCTAAACAATAATACAAATTTAATTAATGACTTCTGAAATTAACGATTATTAAATACTGAAGTTGAATGACTGATGCAACGGAAAAGGCAACAAATTTAAATAAATAGCGATGCAAAGTTTTCTGATAACTAATGCACAAAGTGCTTGAATGATAAAGCTTACGACCAAATATTTTCTTATAATAATTATATTAAAATGAGTGTTAAGTGTGATCGCCTTGACCTGTGCTCCCCTAATATGGCAAATCTAATTATTAAAACGTGTTAAAATATGTTTATGCGCAGGAAACAATTGCACAGTCAATATTTGCAATTCCAAATGCACACGACGACATGAAATAATTAAGTTGACAGGAATATCCCGAACTCCCAAGTTGGCGGTTAACGTAAATTAAGTAGGCTTAACCGTAGTTACATAGCACGTAGTAAAATTACAATAATTTTTAACACAAGGAACATACTTAATACCTACAAGGAAACGAAAATAAAAATAAGTTTACACGTTTAAAACAGCGTTATTACGAGTTATGGCAATATATGAAGAACGCAAACGAGAATTTTCGAACCACCAGGGGTCCGCGGACCATCCGCTGGAAACTATCACGGTATTTCACTCTCATAGACTCGTTTTCTCAAATTTAATTCCATTGCCACATAGTCGTATAACATTTCAAGTCAACTTCTTTGCTTTGATCGCAGTCTGAAGCTGTCTTAAGCTAAACAACCAAGCGTATCACACACCTCACTCACCTCGGGGGCGGTCATATGCTGATTATGGACAACAGGTATAAGGGCTAAGAACAGGGTTCAGAGACACAGAGTCCCATTATCATTCTGTCCACCACAAATCCCACGTGGAGACATCTAGGATTCAAACTGTCGTCACCTTAGACAGGGATCGACTTGCTGTCCCTAAATCTGAAATACACGAGGCGACTAATTCCATGGATCAGAGTCCTTAAGGGCTGACAGTCCCACAGCTAGTCAAGGAGTTAGCCGCCTTCCATGGGATCAAAAGGTCAATTGCGGTACTAACATGAGAGCGTTCACAATCCTGGGCCAACCGAAATCTTTCCAACACTCACCAAATTTATATAAGACAAATTTTAATAATATTCTTCCGCATATGCGAGCGTCTCCATGCCAGTAAGATATCTCATTGTCTCAGACAATTCCGAATTTAAAATGCATCGGAAAATATTAATTTATATATACTTCACTAGGTTTAATTTAGATATATTTTAATTACCCTAACTAATTTCATTGGGTCCCGCGCCGTAGCCGCGCGGTCTGAGGCATCATGCTTCGGACCGGCGATACGTAATGAGCGCTGGTTCGAGTCTCGGGGGAGAAGAAATTTTCTCATGAGATTTTCGACCAGTGTATGGGACCGGTGCCAACCCAGCATCGTGAGGAAATTGGGGAGCTACAATGAGTAGCGTAATCCGGTCAGGAAAGCTAGCAATGGCTGGGGGTTCGTCGTGCTGACCACACATCACCTATATCTGGTTGGATGATCGTTCACCTCTGCTTAGGTATGTGAACGTGAGGCCAGCAGCCAGCTAGTCGGCTTTGGCTCTCTGGAGCTGTTAAGCCACGGATTATTATTATAATTTCACTGGCACACTGAATTTAGAAAGAATGCTGTGTACTACTTCCTTCCTAACTTGGTTAAGTTTTAAAATCTCTAAATGATTGACGTACTTCGCCATTTTATTCCAATTTTCTCAAGTATCCAAAGAGCAAAAATTACGTGATCTAGTTGATCGATTACGTAGAAATCCAAAATGATGATGCCCAATACTTTCGTCTACGTTAACCTAGACAGAAGAATGATGGATACAATTTTATACGAAGTTTACAGCGCTGATAGCGTTTACCTACATAATTATTACAGTCACTTTTATCACCATTATTAAATATAAGTATCATAATAATAAATTATTTCCGTTATTATGACAATTTTTCCTTATTCCAAATAGAATCTGTGGATATCTTGAGAGGTGACTGAGTGCTTGGTAGACAAATATGATCATCAGCTACGTTTGAAGATAATATAATTCGGGAATTCAAAAGAATAATTTGAATAACTTAGGCTTCACACATTATTTAGCATATTTGATCAGTTTACCGTCTCCCTGTTGCGCTGTGACTTTTGTAGCGTTTCCTCCAGCCAGGCCCATTGGCCCGCCGGGTCCTCCTCGTTCCCCACGATGTCGGAACAGAGGTTCGTGTTCAGCATCACAAGCCGTAGCTTCTGAAGTTTCCGCTCGATCGTGTAGTAGCCCCCTGTGGCATCGCAACATCGAGAAACATGAATTTGTTTGTAAGATTTGAGGTTTTCACAGCGGTGAGTATGAAGATTTCTATCTTCTGGGTTGTTGCGGTGAATCGCCCTGATGACGGAGGCAGTATGACCTCCGAAACGTTGGTAAACATCTACCATACTACACAGCGCAACAACCCAGAAGACAGAAATCATCATGAATTTATTTTCTGTCTCATGCACCAGAAGACAGAAATCTTCATGAATTTAACTTCTGTCTCATGCGGTTTACATCTGAAGTTTATTTCAAAAACACTGTAAGAGTCATTTGACTAATGTTTAAACCCAAACAATGACGTAATTTTTGCATACAAATGTAAACAGGGCACTGCACTTTTGATTTGCCATTGTACCTCTCGTTTGTGCATAATTTTCCCATATAATTAGCATGCAGACTACAGGTAGCGTGTGACAACCATGTTTCATATGCTCCTTAGTATTAACAGGCTAAATATCCATAATGGACCTCTCTCGTACGCAGTTAACGGAAGTAAGTCTGTGAGAACGGTCTAACAAGTTTCCTGCGCAGTGAAACTCGGTAGCCACCGACAAAACACAGGACTGTAACAAACAACGGTGCAATATTGAAACAAATGACTGGCAACTACAAACTAATTCATAACAAGAACCTTCCACTCTGTCCTATCTTTAAACGTTTCTTAATACCTAGCAAAATAGTTCTCTGAGAGCAATTTTTAATCTAATAGTTTACCGTCAAACCCAAGAAACAAGTCATAGGAAAATTTTTAAAAAAATCATAGTTTTCGTTATTTTTCAACAACAAAACGTACTGACAAACAATAATTTCCCACAGTATACACTGAAATATAGATTATATTAAAATGTGCATAGATTACTATACAAATACATATTATTGTGAATCTGTTTCTGGTACAGATTGTATTTAATACAACTCTTACCTGGAAAACGTCAATTTTATGACAGTGTTTTAGTGTCAATAGCTTAATTGGCACTAGTAAACAAACACAGCCGACGATATAAGAATAAACATTTTTTAAATCCTTCCGAATAACGCGGGTCTGTTACAAATGGTCTCAGGCCGGATATGGCTAGTGTGCCGTCAGTTTAACCACGCACGTTTGGATGTAACGGGGCGGGATGCCAGGTCTCGAGACCCGTAGTTTGGACTAACAGTAAAAGTATGCCACGGGCCTTGCAGATAATCTCCTTCGGTGAAGCGGATAGAAATGTTGGAAACGCCTAATCAACACGGCAGATCTCCTGCTTGTGATTCCGTGCACTCATTTAAAATAGCCTATCTTCATCTTGCATACCTGTTTATACGTTACAGGGGGAAACAAAAGTGTTATGTAGAAAAACAGGTACTATCTTGATATGAAATAAAATGCAGCACAAACACGAACACTGAATGTGTTATAACTAAGGACGCTTACAGTTTTAGTGTTCTGACACCACAGATGAGCTGGCGCAAATGCTTCCTGTAAAATAGTAAGGAGTGTCCAGCGAAACTCGAGTCAGAGTTACTAGGCCGCTGCTCACGAAAGACGCTCATGAGCTATGAAGATGTGAACACGTGTTCACACTCCAACATTTTTCTAACATATAATTAGCATGCAGACTACAGGTAGCGTGTGACAACCATGTTTCATATGCTCCTTAGTATTAACAGGCTAAATATCCATAATGGACCTCTCTCGTACGCAGTTAACGGAAGTAAGTCTGTGAGAACGGTCTAACAAGTTTCCTGCGCAGTGAAACTCGGTAGCCACCGACAAAACACAGGACTGTAACAAACAACGGTGCAATATTGAAACAAATGACTGGCAACTACAAACTAATTCATAACAAGAACCTTCCACTCTGTCCTATCTTTAAACGTTTCTTAATACCTAGCAAAATAGTTCTCTGAGAGCAATTTTTAATCTAATAGTTTACCGTCAAACCCAAGAAACAAGTCATAGGAAAATTTTTAAAAAAATCATAGTTTTCGTTATTTTTCAACAACAAAACGTACTGACAAACAATAATTTCCCATAGTATACACTGAAATATAGATTATATTAAAATGTGCATAGATTACTATACAAATACATATTATTGTGAATCTGTTTCTGGTACAGATTGTATTTAATACAACTCTTACCTGGAAAACGTCAATTTTATGACAGTGTTTTAGTGTCAATAGCTTAATTGGCACTAGTAAACAAACACAGCCGACGATATAAGAATAAACATTTTTTAAATCCTTCCGAATAACGCGGGTCTGTTACAAATGGTCTCAGGCCGGATATGGCTAGTGTGCCGTCAGTTTAACCACGCACGTTTGGATGTAACGGGGCGGGATGCCAGGTCTCGAGACCCGTAGTTTGGACTAACAGTAAAAGTATGCCACGGGCCTTGCAGATAATCTCCTTCGGTGAAGCGGATAGAAATGTTGGAAACGCCTAATCAACACGGCAGATCTCCTGCTTGTGATTCCGTGCACTCATTTAAAATAGCCTATCTTCATCTTGCATACCTGTTTATACGTTACAGGGGGAAACAAAAGTGTTATGTAGAAAAACAGGTACTATCTTGATATGAAATAAAATGCAGCACAAACACGAACACTGAATGTGTTATAACTAAGGACGCTTACAGTTTTAGTGTTCTGACACCACAGATGAGCTGGCGCAAATGCTTCCTGTAAAATAGTAAGGAGTGTCCAGCGAAACTCGAGTCAGAGTTACTAGGCCGCTGCTCACGAAAGACGCTCATGAGCTATGAAGATGTGAACACGTGTTCACACTCCAACATTTTTCTAAGCATCGAAATCGTTTGCTGCTGTTTGTGAAATATAATATTGAATAGATAGTTGCCAACACTGATCCAGAAACACTTCACAAAGTCGCGTAAAGCACACTAAAATGGGTGGATTTATGTCTTCGGGAAGATGGCGGTCATTTTCAGTGTCTGCTCTAAAGTAGTTCGATAATTATTAACAAATACAACATTAGATGATAATGTTGCGTCATTATTGTGTTGAATATATACTTGCTCAATTTTATCAGTCAAATCACAATAAAATATTATTATTAAATGTTAAAAAATATTAAAATGTTAATATTTTAACATTTAATAACAACATTAAAAAAGACTTCGTTTGTCCTGTTATACTGTCATCAAAGCTTTCAAATACTGTTGGAGTTAAGTCAAATGCAAAACCTTGTATTTATCATACGAATTCATGTCAATTTGCTACTGAATTCGTTTATTTACTCAGACGCAAATGACAGTATTACAGGTCAAAACAGGATGTCGAAGAAACTGTAAAAATCAGTCTTGAAAATATCAATTTTAAGGCATTTTTTTGCCTAAAATACAAAATTAAACTAAAACAAAGCGAAATATTTTTGATTTTAAAACGAACACACGTGTAACGTGGGTTTGGCTTAGGTCAGAACCGCATTTAAACCAGGGATGGACATTCAAGTTAACAGTGTTTACCCGACTAACATTTTTTTTGGAGGGGAACAAAATAGAATAAAATAAAAAGTTTTCTATCTTTCGTAGTTCAGTGCTGCAACATATATTGGAACACAGCAGAATCGTTGATATATAAAACATCGTTAGCCAGCTAACTGAGGCTTACGTTCGCCGTGGACGGAGTAGTCGGCTGCCGTCTGAACGGCCTTAAGCCCAGCGAACGTGGTGGACGCAGGTTCGAAACTCGTGTCTACTTCTCGTCTTACTTATCGATACGATCCTCACAAAATATGAGTTTTTCAGGGACTGGTCCCGTGATTCCAGGTAGTTATTACGTAAATTCGGAAATTAAAAAAAATGCTATGAGAGAAAGGTTTATGATGTGAAATCAACAATAACACAAAGGTACCATTTTACATGAAAATTATAAACGAACTGTTCGCTTGCTTAGACGATACTATGGAGCACAGAAAAGTGTGGCCATGATACCAAATTTGTAAGGCATCGTTTTCAACTTCATCTCTGTGACAAACTGAAATGGATCTGCCCACTCGCTTGGAGCTGGTCTGTTCGACGCGAGTACAGCGGAATCCACTGTCATGCCTTCCTGAGACTCAGCAAACATACACATAAGACACAAAGGGATCTTCTGTACGATAAGGCGATCTTCAATTTCCAAATACAATAGTCACGAGTCTTCAAACATAGCATAAACGAGGCCATATTGCATGTTTCTATTATATTTAGGGCTGATCCATTCAAACATCTTTAAAACTGGTTGCACACATAACATTTGATAAAACATGCAGGTGGATAGATATTCCGCTTGATTTGTAAAAAAAAAAATCGTTTTTCATAAATAATTCATGAGTTTTGGTAAGAAAGCTCTCGCTATCCTTTGCACTGTAATCTTTGAACTGGGGCAAAACTATTTGAATAGGGCAAGTCCGATTCACGTTGTCTTTCCGTCTGCTACATTCTACTCTTCTCTAAATAGAGATGCATGCAAATTTATGCCATGTAAAGGGGAGGGGTGAGGAGCAGATCAAGGTGAAATATGTTGTTACGAAGAGGCTCAGGATTTCCGAAGCCATACAAAAGGTATCAGCGTCTTGACACATCCTATCTCAGCCTTCTATTAGAGTCGTTTCTAAAAGAAACGGGGAGGTACCAATGTGTGAACTTCACTCCGTTATGCGAGACTGCAGTACAAGACAGTCGATAATGTTAAAGAAATTCTAGGTAATCGAAACTGAAGCCAGGTATCGTCACCAGGAAAGCCATTCTCTAAACCATTAATTATTATATCCAGTTTACAATTCACATATATGGTGACCTATTACTGCAAGAATTAACTTTATAATCTACGATGTCCAGTCTTAATTTATACATCTCTAGGAGGTCTTTATATATGAGAATGCTATCGTATGTGTAGACTGAGATGCACACAGCTTCGCTAAGTAAACCATAAATAAATATAAAAACAAAATGTATTGTTGTTCAGGAGTCTGAAGTTTCATCACCGTCCTAACAAAAGTCCACCATAGGCCATTCTTTTTCTATTCTACTTCGTACCTTTGTTGAAGGTCTGGATCGCCTCGGTGGGCAGCCACGGTCTCCAGTAGTTGGCAACGTCCCTGTATCCCTGTCCAAAGTGCAATCCTGGGTTCGGGTCGTCGTGTCCCAGCACCGGGAACACGAACTGGCTACTGAAGGTGTGACGTAGGAGGTGGGTGAGGTTCTTCAACCTCTCCAGCTGGTGATCCCCAGAGACGCCAGGGGAGTGCGCCACACCGTCCCTGCAAGAGGGACAGGGCCTTCAATTCGACAGCGCACTTCGTCAGAACAAGTGCAGTTGACAGTGCACCGAGCTAAAAACAGCATCGAGCTCATCTAACACATCTTTCAACATCTGAAAGTTGATGCAGAAGAAGAAACATGATACAGTGGCATCACGGTCTGAGGCGTGTGCCTTGTGCCGCTTGGTCGCTGGGAACGTGGGTTCGAATCCCACTCAAGCCATGGATGTTTGTCCACGTTTTCCTGTGTTGTGCTGTCCTGTGTACAGGTAGAGGCCTTGCGACGGGCCGATCCCTCGTCCAAGGAGTCCTACCGAATGTCTATAGATCGAGCCAACGAAGAAAGTTAGGACCTGCAGTGCTCAGGCACTTGAAGAACGGGTCGTTTCCAGTATCCCCAGTAACAGCAATCGAGCCAACTAACTAACTAACTGACTGACGAAGCTACTGGTAGTACAATCCGACGCTCAAAAGCAGCCATGGGCAAATTACTACTAGCCATTTAAATCCAATTAACACAATTACAGACAACTTCGTGGTTAGGTTAGATTGTTGCAGTTCATGCATATAAAGATTAAATAATATTAAATAAAATACAAATTCTTTTCAACAAAAAAATTCGATTGGTGCAACGGCCACAAAATCTTTTTTTAAGCGTCTGTCATACGCTTTCTCCTTACTTTCTGTGATTCATGTTAATAATTACCACGTATCTTCTCTATTCGTCTCGTTCCATATGAAACATTCAATAATATTATCGAACTTGCATTTCTCACGTGTGTTAGTATTTGTCGCCGGTCCGTGTGCATCAGCTAAGCTCAATGCATTTGTATGTAATACAATGTTAGTATAATGCGTTGCATGTGCAATGAAAGGCCATCAGGGGGCCCTCAAAATCGCAAGTAACACACATGGACACTGTGTATGGAATGCAAGTAAACACAGAACGCATACCAGCGATTATCATGAACTGTTCCCCACACAATCGTCCCGGCTTGTCATG